AAGGTGCCTGGACTCGGTCTTGTCTTGGTCTTGAAGGCGCTTGGACTCGGTCTTGAGTCTGTCTTGAAGATGCTTGTCTCGGTCTCGAGATCTGACACTCGACGAGTGATAAAATGGAGATAGATTTATAAAAACATTGATATAAATGTGCCAAAATAAATGTAAAATACAAATAAATGTTGAAAATTACAAAGATGGTCTCGACTTGGTCTAGAAAGAGCTGTGGTCTCGGTCTTGTCTCGGTCTAGGCCTTTAAAAGTCTTGGTCTTGTCTCAGTCGCGACCCTTAGAGGTCTTGGTCTTGTCCTGGTCTCGGAACCCTGTGGTCTCGGACAGGTCTCGGTCTCGGTTAGTGAGGTCTTGACTACAACACTACCTTTAACAGAACTAACACATGGGAGATACAGTATGTTTAATGCCCTACTGAGTAACATTCCAGGAAAAGAAGCAAAGAAGTAGTGGACCCTCCACCTTAGAAGTTACACAGTGCACCTTTTAAGATTATTACAATGATCAGAATAAGACGAAACAAGGTAAATATAAGCAGTTACTGAAAAATGTGTGAATGAAATGATGTAGGTTAGAACACAGTTAAGTAAAACAAAAGAAAAAAAGGGAAAAAAAATATACCGGATGCCCTGCCAAAGCTCCTTGTAGCTTCGTAGTGTTCATATTAAATATATACATACATTTGGCTGCGGGCTGTTTTAAAAGATTTCAATTGTAAATCCATGTTACTGAACCAATTAAGACTTCTCATCTGTGTATACTGTACAGTTTATCCCTGTGAGCCTGAGTCAATATTGAAGTTAACATTCCCTTTTTATTAAGTATGGAAAACATGTCTGTAGGTGGTTTAAGGATGTTTGAATTGGAGCTAAATACTAAACCAACTCGACTCCTTAACAGTGTATATGGTGTTTTACAGGATTGTCTGCTGTTACAAGTGGGCAGTTTTAGAGACAACTAGGTCAATTTGCTAACCTAATTCACTTCAAAACCGTCTGACCTCGCAGTATTAGGATTCTTTTGCTTGACGGTAGGCGAAGTACTTTTTTTATTTAACCAATCGCAGCTGTTTGGTCGTGACGTATGTAATGCTCCAAATCCCGTAGAAAGAATGGCAATAACGTCTTTCATCTTGACAAAATTCACCAAACATTCTCTTTGTTTAAATCCTCGATCTCGGGAATCGTTGCCAACACAGAATGTTTGTCTTCGTCTACATCCATCTCGACGTTGACATTGTTCTGTTCCACAAAAGGGACCCAGGTGCTTGAGTTTGACGTCATGGCTTCACAGCTCTTCATTGATTGGCCGGAGCGCGGTCTACAACTTCTGGGGTTCTTGCAAACCATCTAGTGTATTCTGATTCCTGATCTAGTCGCTGGAGAGAAATTAAATTGATTTGCAGCTTTCTGGTCAAAAACACCGAAATCAAAGTTTGTGCTGCCTTTTAAGTACACATGACTGTTCCGATTACACCAAATTGCTCAAAAGTTTATGTGTTTAGTTCAAATTTGAGGCAGATTTAGGCTTTTAAAATGAGTTGAAAAGTAAATTCTTGGGTTGATTCCTGCTGGTAACATTTGGGATTGATTTATGTTTAAAGAGCAGAAAGCAGCACGGCTAATTTTGCGCATAGTGTTACAGATTAGAGGTCTGCATGAGTCAGAATTTTCAGTCATGCTCCCGCCCGCACCTGCAAAGAATTGTAATTTTCATTCCCACTCCCGACCTTATCTGCGAAATTTTGTCCCGCTCCTGACTGCAAGATGAGGATGTTCTCTTTCTTAAGCTCTATCAAACACGGAGAAGCGGAAAGGAATTGTCTAAAATGGGCACGAGATTAGATCATGTCCACAAGGTTAGGCTGCTTAAAATGTTTTTACTAATGCCAAATAAAAGATCCAGCAAAATGATGTATGACAGGCAAACATTAATCATTTTTATACTCATATTTAGTTTGCGGGACTACAGTTTATCACCACACCATTTGCGTTGGCTCCCCACGGGTGCAGGGATCTATTACAGATATAGTAGTGATTTAAAGGTGCATTGTGTAGCTTTCTGTATCTATGGAGAGCTTATTGTTTTGCCCGGAATATTCCACAGTATGACATTACACTTATTTATCTCACATTTATTTCATTACGGGTTGTTACTGCTCCAAAAACATGCATTCTTGCAGTGAGCGAGTTTGGTTCTCCACAGATCTGACTTGTAACTTGTCTTGATGGTGTCACCTGCTCCATCTCCATGAGGTTAGATTTTGAGAAGTTTAATGCTGTACTGTGGAACAATCCTGGCAAAGTAATAACATCTCCATAGCGACAAGCAGATTGCAAAACTTCGACCAGAAAAGTTACATAATGCACCGTTAAGACATAATAATAATATGCACTCCTTGTCGCCACGGAGAGGTTACTGCTTATATTACATTACATTATATTACATTACATTACTGTATTTTTCGGACTATATGTTGCTCCAGAGAATAAGTTGCACCAGCCAAAAAATGAGTAATGAACAAGAAAAAAACATCTATAAGTTGCACTTTTTTGGAGGAAATTTATTTTATAAAATCAGAGACCAGGAACCGACATTTCATTTTGAAAGTCAAGTTCTAGTAATAACAATAGAACAGAGAACAACAGACTGTTAACGTCACATATGACCAGTTCTTCAGATAAATATAACATAAACAACAGAACAGAACAAGTTTAACAAACTCTCCATCTCACTCCAGATCACTAAATCCATTCCATTCTTCATCCTCGGTGTCACTTCTGAGCAACTTCATGACCTCCAGAGGTAAACAGAGCACCGCTTTCTCTTCTGTGTAGCTGTCGTGAGTCTCAGCATCAGTTCCAGTTAGAATTATTCCAACCTTTCTGAATGCTCGATTTTTACTGCTCGATTACCACTTTCAGCTGCATATTTCGTTACTTGCAGCTTGTAATATCCAAAATATGATTTTCACTTTGGAGGCATTTGTGTTCAGTCTTCTCAGTTGTCTTGATAAGTTTGTTTAAATAAAAAAAAAATTCAGTGGTACAGAAGTAATGGTGGGATCGACTGACATGATACAGACAGGACAGAGGCTCTTTCTGCAGGAGACATGAGCAGTAGAGTGAAGTGACAGTGGTACAGGAGGAACAGGAGCAGCAGATACTGACACACAAGACTAGCGCGCCCTCATGTGGCTTCAGTGTGAACATTTTAATATATAAGTCACACTGGAGTATAAGTCACAGGACCAGCCAAACCATGAAAAAAAGTGCGACTTATACTCTAAAAAATACGGTATATCATATCATATCATATCATATTATATTATGTTATATTATATTAATTTGGTTAATAAGTACCAACTTAAATGAGCACTATGTAAGCTGGAGTGTTCCTTTATATGGCATTAAACTCTAAAATCTTTCTTGCCTTTGTCTGTTTTGCACATGTTCATGGTCATTGGCTTGTTTCCCTGGCGACAGATACGTTTATATTCCAGGCAAAGCAGCACCATGGAGAAAAGTTACACAGCGCGCCTTTAAAATAACACAATAACATTTCACTACCTAAACTGACTTCAAACTGAACAACCAAACTGAAGCGCTGACATTACAGGGGACGTATGTTACCGCCCCCTAGTGCGTGAGGGGAGAACTGCGGCCCCTGCGCTCGTGTCTATTTAAGGACGAGCGTTGTCAATGAAAGTGTAACGCAGAACACAGGAGCAGTAGATTAAACATTATGACTTGTCAGAGCGGCTCAGATCTCGTTACACTCTCCCCGCGTGACTTTAACATATGGACAGACAACTAAATAAGATACCGAGTGAGAAATTATGATTTTGATGATGATTTTTTTCAAATTCAGAACAATTATATTTACATTTAGAAGTATATTGATGTCCAAGTGGGTAGTATTTAAATATAGTACAGATTATAGTACAGAATATTGTATTAGTAGTATTAGAAGTAGCCTATAGAAGTAGAAATAGTACCTGTAAATATATATGAAATGTAATCTAGGAACATAGCCAATAGTGAGACATTACTTGCTATTAATAGGAGTAAAAAAAAAAAGCAAAGTCGCGCAAAGTTTAGCAGATACTTCGAATTTTATTTCCTTTAATCGATATTTATCCATTCATTTGATCGACTGTAATTAATAATTGTGTTTTATTTTATTGACAAGTCGCGTGTGTCTGATGACATGATAATACTGACTGATAATTTATTATTTTAATTTGAATTTCCATTTTACATCCTTGAGATTCTGAGTTTCTTCAAATTAAAATTCAAACACATGATCAAGATTAGAATCAACAGCATGGACGCACTGACAAAAATGTTTTCTAAGAACTCAAGAACCCCTTACTTTTTTCAAATATCTGTCAGACTTCCATGTGTTTTTGTTTGTATTTGTTCACAAACTCTACTCAATGTTCACATAAAAGTAAATATTTCGTTTTTATATTATTTTTTATTATCTTATAAACATGTTTGAACTGAAATTCTCTGCAAGTTGTTCAAAAGCGCATTTAAACTCTGAATGTTTCTACTAGTTTAAAATAAAGTTGCTGGAATTATAATTAGAAGCAAAAGTTCTCAAAAATATATACAAAAGTTACTTAAAGTACAATTTTTTAAAGCTACCTACGACTTACCGGCACTACTACTATAGTCCAATCTAAGAATTTAAAACCACTTTGCCATACATACTGTTTACTTTTAACTATTTAGATTGTATTTACTTAATTAAGAATCATTTTACTCGTAATATTTTCATCATTAACATCTGTTTGAGAAATATTTACACAAAAAAGCACAAAAATTTTTCAGTTTCCATAGCAGTTTATCCAAAATGTTAATTGTTTTTGCTTAATCTGCTCTTCAAAACTCAAAATCATACTCAAACTACAAGATAAGTAGTTTACAAATGTTAAAAATATATCCGTTAATAATCTTCTAAAATCTTAACTTATTTCCATGTTACCTTGGTTTTGCGCTGGTCTACTCGAGGACATCTTCTTGTAAGTGTTCTGCAGATCATTCCTGGTAAA